ATTCAATATTCTACACCCAAGTATATAAATAGTATATATTGATATACTTTATAGTATATCAATATATACTATTTATATACTTGGGTGTAGAATATTGAATTACAGTAATAGTTTTATCTTGAAACATTGTCATATTCAGCCTTAGAGAGCCTTTCTGCCTCTGGCATTACGAGGTCCTTACAATACAATAGCAGAGTTGGCAGGGACCTTGGAGGTCTTCTAGACCAACCCCCTGCCTAGGTAGGAAACCCTATACAGTTTCAAACAAATGGCTCTCCAACATCTTCCTAAAGACTTCAAATGTTGGGGCTTTCACAACTTCTGGAGGCAAGTTGTTTTGATTAATTGTTCTAACTGTCAGGAAATTCCTCCTTAGTTCTAGATTGCTTCTCTCCTTGATTAGTTTCCACCCATTGCTTCTTGTTCTACCCTCAGGTGCCTTGGAGAATAGTTTGACTCCCTCTACTTTGTGGCAGCCCCTGAGATATTGGAAGACTGCTATCATGTCTCCCCTGGTCCTTCTTTTCATTAAACTAGCCATGCCCAGTTCTTTCTTGGGTGGGGGAGACGGGACATGACACCCCAGGAGGGATCTACCTTGCGAATCGCGCGAGGCAAGTCCGGATCTGCAGCGACGTCCTCGGGGGCCACCAGGCTGCAGTCGAAGAGGAAGTCCACACTGGGATTGATGTCCAAGGGGTCTGTGGGGGAATATAGGAGCCGCTACACTCCAGGCCCTCCTTCTTGGCGGGTAGGGAAGCCCTCTCCCCTCCCCCTCCCCAGGAAGGAACTCCCTTCTTGCCCACTCCTGCCTCTCCCACTCGCCTCTGGCGCTGCCCTCACTTTTAGGGAAGTCGGCCTCCAGGTCTTGTCCCGGCTCATCCAGGACGTTGGCCATCTTGACCGCCATGGCCAGGACGTCATCCCTGGCCGGCCCAAAGAGGTCGCAGTCCTCTAGGAGGCCCTCGGCACTCTGGTTGCTCACCAGGTCTATGAAGACAAGGGGGGTGGGGAGTGTCAGGACTGAACAACTTCTTGGGACCCCCTGCAAGCATCGGGGTCCATTTGGGCCTCTGGGTTCTGAAGAGCACAGGATGATGGTCGATGGAGGCCGGGAGGGAGGAGCTGAGGCCTTTCTTTCCCACCTGCCCCCCTTCTTCTCCCTAAGAAGATCCAGGGTACATAGAGAAGGGGGGCAGGAAGACCCAGGACGAGGGTCTGCCCCCCCCCTTAGCTTTGCCTGCCTTCGTCCATCACTCGCTGGCTGCCCCCAGCGGCCTCCACAGCCGCCAAGGCTTCCTGAGTTCAGAGAGCCCCTTTCTGCCTCTTGCCTGGCTGCAGATGCCCTCAGAGGCTGCTTTCAGGCTGAGCCCAGGGGGGTGGGGTTCCTGGTAGAGCGACCCACTTTTGCCCGGGTGCCCCTCCCCAGTGGCATGCCAGCCCCCCCCGTCCCCCCGCCCAGAACTCACCACACAAGTCAGAAGAGGCTTTGTCCAGCTCTTCGGCCTCAGCGATCATCTCCGCCATGGCTAGGATGTCAGCTTCCAGAGGGTTGGAAGGGATCTTCACCTTCAGCTCCTCAATGGTCTCCACAATCTTCTCTGTGCTCTCCAGGGTGGTGGGCAGAAACATTGGCACAGGGACCTGGAAGGAGAGGCAAGAAGTCAGGGGCCCGGCGGGGAAGGGCGGAAGGCAGGCAGGCAGGGGCTCCGGAAGGAGGAGGTGGTACTCACGGGGACTGGCATGGAGAAAGGCACCGGGACTTTCTGACAGTACATGTTCATGGGCACGGGCACAAAGACTGGTACAGGTATGGGCAGCACAATCACCTGAGGCTTCCAGTCGTCTGTCAGGAAGGAAGGAAACGGTTGGCGAGTCTTCACCCGCCTGCCCGCCCCCCCCCCAAACCTCCTATCCTGGGACCAGGCAAGGCCCATGGCACGACATAACTGCGAACGTCAAAAGCGCGCCGACAAAACCGTGGCGCTAAAACCGTGATGTCAAAAGCGCGCCGACAACAGCGCGCCGACAGAAGCGCGCCAACAGAAGCGCGATGTAAGTTAAGGTAAGGNAAGGAGGGAAAATAGCTTAAACAAATAACTGCAGGTGATTAATAAATAGAAAGGACAATTAAAAATAACAATACAGATTGTCCTTGACTTACATCCATTCATTTGTAAGTGTTAGAACAGCATTGAAAAAAGTGACATGACCAATTCTTGCATTTTCGACTGTTGTAACATCCCCATAGTCATATGATTAAAATTTAGGCACAGGGAACCACTATTTATTTACAATGGATGCAGAGTCCTGGACCACGTGATCTCTATTTGCGATCCTTCACAGCAGACTTCCAACAAGCAAAGGTCAGTGGGTGAAGCTGGATTTAATTAATGACCATGTGGATTCATATAACAACTGCAGTGATTTGTTTAGCCACTGTGGCAAAAAAATAGTACGACTCACTAAGTCGTAACAATTGTAAAAGGATTTTATGACTTTGCAGTAGCCTTTAAACAAACCCATTGTTTGTCATAATGCAGTTTTGCTGGAAACCAGAAGTAAGTGCTGGTTTTCAATGAGACCAGTGTAAAAAACAGTCATGAGACCGGGGGCAGGGGGAAGGAACGGGGACACGACGACACTGCAGCCAGCCATAAATGTAGGCATGTTGCTGATGTCTGAAGTGGGGTCATGTGACTGTGATGGGGGTGTGGCTGTCAGAATTTGGATCCTGGTCATAGGTCTGCTTTTTTAGGTAAGTCATAACTGAGTGGTCATAAATCGAGGACTACTTTGTATATGATATTTTTTTATAGAATGGACGTGCAGAATGTCTATTTTGCTGGATCTGGTAGGATGGACAAGAGTAAATCCTTGACTTGCATCCATTCGTGTAGTGACAACTTGAAGTTACAGTGGCAAGGAAGAATGTGACCCATGACTGGTTTTCACACTTTAGGACTGTTGCAGCATCCTCATGGTCACGTGATCAAAATTCAGATGCTTAGCAACGGGTTCATATTTTATGATGATTGCAATGTCCCGAGGTCATGTTGGACATCTTTTGCGGCTGGACAAGCAAAGTCCATGGGGAAGCAGATTCACTTAATAACTTAACAACTGCAGTGATCCACTTAACAACCGTAGCAACGAAGTTCATAAAATGAGACAAAATTCACTTAACTGTCACACTTAACAACAGAACATTTGGGCTCAATTGTGGCCTTTGATGACTACCTGTATTGAAAAGAGGAGGTAACCTGGCTATGTGCCAGGTGAATAATAACAAGCACATAGAATTGTACCTGGAAGGCTACTGGAAGCCAGGGCAGCTGGATAGTGGTATCACATGGGTGAACCTTGACCAATGGTGCATATGCCACTGCATTCTGCTAAAGAAGCTTCTGAATGTTTTTTAGGTCATTCCCACGTAGAGTCCATTGCTGAAGGCCAAATGGGAAGTGACTAAGCATCATATATTGCTAAATGATTTTAATGATAGCTAAATTTGTTTTAATTGTATTAGGTTTTATATCATATTCTGCAGTTCGCATTTTGTTGTAAAATGCTTGGTGGGTTCAGAAAAGCAGAAAAGTGGGTTATCTATTTAATAATAAATAAATACATTAAGGTGACAGTTTATGGTATTCCAGATATTTCTGTACTGCAATTTCCATACTTCTTAACCTAGCTGCCATGCTGACTGAACTTTAGAAGAGTCAGAGGCCAATGCTACCCTGAGGGCAACTCATTAGCTGTCCCTGCTGATTACATACACACACATAGGGCTTACCATCAAAACCAATGTGAACTGTTGCTATCTGGTCAGAGAACATTGTGTGACACTCAGCATAGTCGGTCCTTGGGCTTACTTGCCTTTTTATATTTTTTTAAAAAGAATAGTGCCATTTGAACTGTTTCAAAACATTCATTGGATGTATTATCTTGCTATTCCACCAAGAAATCGAAATAATACATTTATTTCCAAAATTGAAGAAAGAGCTGGCACCTCACAACAAAACAACACACCAGTCACTAGTGTCTATGGAGATACTCATATCCAGGCCATGGTTGTCCCTAAAGTGCTTTTGAAAAGGCAACTGGACTTTGTTTGCTTTTTCCTTTGAAGACATTTCACTTCTCATCCAAGAAGTTTCTTCAGTTCTTGACTGAATGGTGGAGTATGAAAGGATTTATATTCCTTGCGGTCATCTGGAAAACTTGAAGATTTATCTGTGCCCTCAGGGTTACCTGTATGGTGCAAATGGGTGTGGAATCTTCTTGGAACTGTGGAAAGGACTGTGTTGCAAACAGGAGATGGGGGGTGTCATATCCCTCCCCCTCTGTTGAGAGAGGGTTGTTAGTGCAACACATGTGTGTTGAGATAATTGAAAAAACAAAGGGTACTTTCACAAGTCTGCATGTGATGTTTGTGGTATTCCTAGATCTGTCCCACTTCTATGAGGTCTCCCAATATAGTATCTGCTACACAGGCAACTGTGAGGTACAGTTTAAGATGAAGAAAACTCATGGAGGACAAGGAAACTCGCTTTTGATTTCTTCAGAGTTTAAGGATGGACCTGTTTTCTACTGGTGGGAAACACTGTCTTACTGCCCCCAGTGATTAAGTCGCTGTTACATTGTTTTTCTGTTCCACTATTTTAATACTGTACTCTAAACAGACATATATAGTGCTTAGACTACATTGCAGTAGTCGTGATGACAAAACACCTTTTAAATGCCAAACAAAATACTGTGAAATGGTTCAATGCCATTGTCAACCTCCAATATGGAGGTGGCTGAGAGTGCCTGTGTGCCCTTTCCGGGTTGCCACACATGGGGAAGGGGGGGGGGAAGCCCTGTCACTTGAGAGGGCCTGTCATGAAAGGGATGGTGGGGAGGGACTCACGGGAGAGGGTGCATGGTGGAGCAATGGGACCCGAATCCAACAAGAGACATCGAAGCAGCGACGGCTAAGGCGTGAATGCTGAAGACATGAAAGGTGATTGCCGGTGGTGTTCCAGAACATCTGAGAGGGGTGGAAAGTTCCGGAGTCTGGATGGCAGACGCTCATAGCACTGACTTAAGACTCACTTCGTGCTGAGATTCTGTGCCGGAATAAAGGGGTGTGACTCTGCTTGCTGTGTGGCCTCCTAATTTCGGTGAGGCTCAGAGCTTGGAACCGTGACAGCCATTTCTTTGAAGTGTCTTAGGCAGCTGGAGGCTGCATTGATTGTCCCATCTGTTTTTCAGGCCAGCTGTGGGGACTGGGGGTTAAAACTGTTTCTCAGAATGGTGGCAGAATGGATGAGACCAAAAGCAGGATTTTTTTTTCCTTCTTCAGGTAGTTCTCAATTTCTCTTCCTAAGTGAAACATTTGTTAAGTGAACGTTGCCCTATTTTATGACCTTTCCTGCCACAGTTGTTAAGTGAATCATTTCAGTTATTAAGTTAGTAATATCATTAAGTGAAATTGGCTTCCCCATTGACTGCTTGTCAGAAGGTGATCACCTGACCCAAGGACACTACAGCAGTTATAAATATGAGTTGGTTGCCAAGCATTTGAATTTTGGTCATGTGACCATGGGGATGCTGCAATGGTCGTGTGAAAAATGGTCATAAGTCACTTTTTTCAGTGTCGCCGTAACTTTGAAAGGTCACTAAATGAACTGTTTTAAGTTGAGGACTGTATTTTTGATGTCTTTGGCTCTGGCCAGAGTCAAGCACTACCTGTATTCAATTATCTCCAATTCTCTGAGATTTTCGAGAGAAATCCCTGCAGTTTTCTTGGTTAGATTTTTCAGAAATAGTTTGCTATTTCCTTCTTCCTAAGACTGAGAGAAAGTGATTGGCACAATCACCTAGCTGGCTTAGTGCCTAAGGCAAAACTAGAATAGAATCAGAGTCTCCCAGATTCTAGTCTGATGCCTTAACCACTACACCAAATTCAAATATAGGAATATCTACTCTTAAATTTAATGTTAAAAAAGATGAGAATTTTAGAAATAAAAGGGCAACCGGTCTGCATGCAAATTAAAGAGCATGCCCGTTATCTCTTTTCTGTTCTCCTAATAACAATTGGCATGTTATGTTGAAACCTGATTCATCAGGTTTAATCACTACTGTTGCTCTTTTGGGGATTCCCCAGAACCACCCTTTTGCTTTTTTCTAAGGTATTTTTGTACTTCTGAAAGCAGTGAGTAGATGTTCCACCCCTTTTTGCATTGCTTCAGTAGAGCTTTCTACCTCAAGTGATTTTGGTCAGTCACTTTGCATCCAGGATTGTTGCTGTGGGGAAAATTAAAAGGAGGAAGAGTACTTATACTACCTTGAGCTTACGACAGAAAGACAGGATATTCTTCTAAAAAAATTCATTAAAGTGAAATAGAATAATCTGTGAATTGCTGTAGTGACTAGAATATTAGTCATAAATAATGGTTCGCTTAGTTGAAATCCATGTTTATCTTTAAGCTTTTTGAATAACCCAACTACCATTTATTTTCAATTCAATTTACACACACCCATTTTGCTCATTTGTCTAACCCTGTAGTTCTTTCTAAGAATGTTTGATGGCTTTTAAAATATCAGCACTGCTTTAATATGTTTGCGTACAGGAGTAATTGTGATTTGTTTTTAGATACCAAACTGCCAGAATAACACACGACATAGATTTTTTCCAAAATAACTATGTGTTGACCTATAACAACATTACACTTTATTTTATAATTAACTGCTGGCACAGAGAAGTACATTGAAGCTCACTACACAACTATTTCATAATGACACTTTAGGAAGGCATGAAAAGTTAGTGGCTGATACAGTGTTTGAACCCTGGCAGAAAGCAGGCATATCATCAGCCAATCCCTGGATAAAACTTCTGATCAATGGTTTTACTAGCAAAGAATAACTTCGGTCTTTAGAGTCTTTTTAGTTTTACAACTTTGTATCCACCTTTCACTTTCATCTTGTCCTCAGCTGAACTTCCTGTGTTTTAGAGTAACTTACCTATGGGTATTTGGCATTTCCTCTCCAAGACAGAGCACCTTCTGGAAGTGATAATAAATCTTAATCCTTTGATTTTAGCATGAACTGGAAAAAGCTTCTGATCTAATAATTTGTTTAATGAGCCATTACCCTGGTAGGGTATTCACAGTGGTTTATACAAAAATAATAATTATAATGAGTTACTACAATAGGAACTTCTTTCCCTGCCTTTTGAAATGTCTGCAGCTACTCTTCAGGAAAACAGGAAGCTCCTTATACCAATGGATTTTAGTAAGCCATAATGTGGCTTGGACAGTTATAGCTAAGCATATAGTTTGGTTAATGGCTTAGTAGTTATAAACTAAGCTATTGTCTTGTTCAACAAATTATGGTTAAAATAAACGATGTCTTTATATGCTGTATACACTAATAATGTTATGTAATTCAGTATAGCCAACATGAACAGACATAATTTTGCAGGGATGCTGGCTAAAGTTGCTCTTATTCTCCCCAATCCTTCTTGCAAATAATATATTTGAGAATCTGATTATAGTAGTAGATTTGTATAAGCTTAGACAGAAAGTGTACACCTATATTTTGTTTGTTTGTTTCAGGTTTATTTATATTTATATGAACATTCAATCCTTGCTGTGCAATAAGGATGAAAGACTGAAAGTTTCCATTAGTTTGACTTTAGTAATGTAAAATGAAAGTAATAAAATTAATAATTGCATTGATGTAAATAAAAGAGGCAGTCATGCTTCTTTTACAAAAGGTTTGTGAATTACTTTTTTCTACTGCTTATAAAAAGGGACACTTTTTTCATTAGAAAGATCATTATGATCTACTTAATGGATTTCACATTAAACCAAATTTCAATCTCAACTGATAGAAACATGCCATAGATACAGTAAGGTTTTGTTTTTTTTAAAGCCCACTTGTAGAAATTGAGAGTACAAGGCAATATCCTTAAAGGTGAGATGAATACAAGGCAAAGGAAATACAAGGAAAAAGGCATTTGATTGGATCCTATTGGAGAGCCAATTTATTGTAGTGTAGTGTTTTGGCACTTGGGATTAGAAATAGAGACTCAGGTTCTCAGTTACAGTTACAGGTACTCATTGGGTAACTTTTGGTCAATCATACTATCTGTGTCCAGCCTACCTCATAAGATTGCAGTTATGAAATAAACTTTCCCTACCTTGACTTAAAATATAAAAATAGCGGTGGAATAAAAAGTCTTTAAAAAAGAATGCATTAGTAACATTAAGAGGTATTCCTTTGCATAAAAACAAAAATCTCCCATTTCATCATTATATCAAAGGTGTTAATCATATATGCACTGCACTTCTGTTTATAGTTTACACTTCTGTTTACAGAAAAAGGCTTTTGAAAAAAGCAAGGATAAAAAACCTCATTGTATGCTCATTCCAAAGATTGCATGATTTCATTTATATAAATCTTGAGGCCAATACTTTGTGTGTTACTGTACATAAATAGATTTTTAATCCCTGTTGGACTATATATGCACTTTACTTTTTCTCAGTCTGGTTAAATTTAGCGTCTGCAATACGATTTTTTAAAATCAGGGCCAAGACTGGGTTCCAATACATTCGAAGGATATCAGGTTGGGAAAGTGCAATAGTTCCTGTAGTAACAGGACAAATTTTCATGATCACAAGAGATAATTAGGGATTGTTTGCTTGTTCAATATAAATTTTATACTTGTGCAGTATAAAAAAAGGCTTAAATGTGCATTTATTTTTTGAAACATCAAACATGGGATGTTTGATGGTAGTTTAGATCCCATAATCGAATGGGATAAATCATAAGACATACATTACGTAATATT